GATAATGCATGCATGTATGTATTTAGTCTTCGTGGTGTGTGTTGTGAAACAGCCCCTCTAGCACAGTGTGCCAAACGAGTACATAGATCACACACATATGTTTGAGACTGGGCCTGAAAGAGATACGTTTTTCTTCTGTATCTTGTTGGTTTTACTTTTTTTTTTTTTTTTTTTTTTTACTTAAAATGATGTGGACCAGCTTTGCAAATGTCCTAGACTCTGTGTTTTGAAGCAAAAAAAAAAAAAAAAGCTACTTTTTTATTATTCCTGTTTTATTGAGCTTAATTTGCAGAATTATTATCTAGGCCAGGATCTTAGAGGACTTGGCAAACACTCTTTTGATTCTTCAGAACACATGGCTAGAAACAGTTTGAAAGGGTTACTTGATTTTGGTCAAAGACCAAAGCGTAATAAGGCAAGTGTCTTTCTTCTGTCCCTATGAATGCAGTCAGCCTTCATGCTTGCTTTGGGTTCTAAGTAATGCAGTTTGAACTACAAAGAGCTGGAAGAAACACTACCCAGTGTGTGTGTGTCACCTTCCGGTAAGAGGCTATATTGAAGGAATTATGCTATAACACTACCAGCCCAGGATAGTCTTCACAGTGTGGCTATGGCTGAAAAATAAATAAATAAATGAATAAATAAATAAATAAATATTTAAAAAAAAGCTGCAATCTTGGTGCTGAGCCAAAGAAAATACCCATCATGATGGACCCACATGATGGGACGCTAGAGTACCATGAATCTCTGTGGACATTGTCATGAAAGAACAAGGGCAGAAGGATGTTCTTGGCATGCTCTGTTAGAAGAACAATGTCTATGTTGGCAAACACAGGTCACTCTGTGTAAGAGAGAGAGAAAGAGAGAGAGGTATACATCTGGAGAACAGAGGAAGGTAAGATAAGGTATTGTCATAGATCCCTTAATGGCCTCATGCTTGTTATCTAGCTCAAGCTGTTCTCAAGCCCACAGTAATCTTCCTGCCTCAGTCTGCTGAGTAATGAGATTACAGGAGTGTAACCCACCCCCATCCTCCCACCCATATCCCTGGTCACTTTTGAGGGGAAGGAAGCACATGCTGTAGCTGAGGCTGGCCTTGAACTCACTACGTAGCTGAACTTCTGATTCTCCTGCCTCTGCCTCCTAAATGCTGGGGTTACAGGTGTGCACCTCGACACCTGTGGTTCTGGGGGGCTGAACACAGGGTTTTGTACAAGCGAGGCAAGCACCCTAACTCAGCCTTGCTCCCCAACCCAGATCTTTATCAGCTGCTTTAAGTTTTTTTATTTTTATTTACGTGTCTATGTGTATATGTGCAATTGTGTGCAAGTGTCCAAGGAGGACAAAAGAGGACATCACATGGGTATTCAGTTGCCTGGAGCGGGAGTTGCAGGGAGTTGTGAGCTGCCTAACTTGGTTCTGAGAACTGAACTCCAGTCTTCTGCAAGAGCAGCAAGCACTCTTAACCACCAAGCCATCTCTCTAGCGTCCCATCCCCATAAGATGCTTTTTAAGGAAACAAGCTAATGGCTATCCTTTGCAACAGAATGAGCCTGGGACCAGGAAGAGCCTGTATCACATGAAAGGGGGCAGATGGGAGGAAGGAGAGAAAAGGTTTATTGCAGAGCTTACAGTCAATAATAACATGGTGCAAATACTAGACTCACGCTCTCTAAGATTGTCATGGGCAGGGATTTTTTTCCTCTCACTTTATACACGGGAAATTCGAGGGTAGCTAGAATGTTCTCAAAACTTTGATTCCTTGACTGTCAGATTTTGAGGCAGGGAGTGAAGGAGTGGTCATTGGTTTATAATAAGCGCTTAGTAAGAATTTAGTTTTTGAATGTTGAGAAACTTTTGGTCTGTTTGGGAAAAGTAACCCCAGCTACATTGTTTCCTAGTAGCCAGCACAGGAAGTCGCCTCTCCTAAGGACACCTGTGGCCAGCCACTAACCTCTAAAAGCATCTGTTTATTGGTGCAATGTGTTTTTATTCTTCCGAGATAGTGGGAAAATGAGGGAGTCCAGAGAATGCACAAAAGAGGGCTGGCTGGGTGTGTTTAGACTCCTCTTAAAACAGCCCCTAGAGAAGAGCCCAAAGTGTGTGTTTCTCCTTCCGTTATCAGATTCCTCGATAAACTCATATCTAATGTTTAGGAAAAGAAGTCAATAAACTAGGAAAGAATCAAGACCTCCCTTCTTTCTGTATAACCAGAATAGGGAGATTATTGAAAGAGAAATAATGTGGGGTTTTTTTAGAAAAAAAAAAAAGTGCAAAATACAAGTCTGTAAGCTGTTGATGAGGGAAGGCCTCCCCAGCACGTGTAGCATATGAGTATTGGAAATAGCATTCACTCTTTTGTTTTTCTAGTTATGAAAGAAGTATATGTTTCTTGTAGGAGATTTAGAAAGCACAGATATGCTGGCAGAGGGTAAATTAAAGGATTCCAGGACTGAAGACGAGGCTCGGAGGTAGAGTGCAATTGCCTAGGCTGTGCAAGTAGGTTTAAGAGCTGGCACCAATTCCTTCCACCCCCTCCTCCCCTTCCCTCCTCCTCCCTTTCCCTTCCCTTCCTTCCCACGTGGTCACCACTCTGATTGTAGTCAATACGTATATGTTATATTTCCAGTTTCTTGTGTGTGTGAATAAAACCATCTTCTTTACTTACTATATTGTGAATGTTACCCTACTCCCAATTCAGTACATGTTCACTCTTTTCAAAAATACCTTCATGAGAAGATCATTCTTAGCCAGTTCCTTGTTCTAAGAGTTCACGGTAGTGTTTGTTTGATTGTGTGTGAGTGGGTCTGTATGTCTGTTTGTGTGTGTGTGTGAGCCTGCTTGGTTTTTTGATATGAGGTTCAGGTATGTAGCTAGATTTGGCTGGCCTAGAATTCACTATGTATGCCAACCTAGCCTCAAGCTCTCCAAAGTGGAATAATTGGATCAAATGATGCTTTTGAACTTTTTAATTTAAGCTGATTTCCAGAAAGATGGCATTTGCATTCCCAAGAACATTGTACATTTTATCCGCCTTAGGAATCATGCGCTGAAAATAAACCCTCGAAGGTGGGGAAGGGTAATGGCTGAGAACAAAGTATAATGACACATAGGTGAGAAATGCCACAATGGAACTCATTTGTTTGTATGCTAACCTAAAAAATTAACAAACACTAGGCACACCCTTAATAAAGATATGCTCCAGTTTTCAAGAATTGTGTTTGTTCGTGAATATGGGCATGCAATTGTTCTCGAGAAATTTTTTCTTTGATAGCATGCCTATTCGTGCTCCCCATCCATTTCTGCCCATCCATTTCTGTGTGAAAGTATTAGGGCTTCACACATTGAGCTAAAGAGTTGCGTACATGCTTGCACATATATATCACATTTGTTTAAACCCGGGTATTTTATATTTTTATGAGAGCTTATAAATGCTAAAACTGCTTTTCAGTGCAAGTTTATCAAAGCTTAAAAAAGAAAGAAAAAAGAAAGAGAAGAAAGGAAGAAAGGAAGAAAGGAAGAAAGGAAGAAAGAAAGAAAGAAAGAAAGAAAGAAAGAAAGAAAGAAAGAAAGAAAGAAAGAAAGAAAGCAGAAGAAATCTCACATAGCTTAGACAGGGCTCAAACTTCCGTGTAACCTAGGCTGGCCTTGAAATCCTGATCCTTAAGCTGCAGCCTTCTGAGTGCTAATGTCGCAGGCATGCACCACTATGGTAGGCTTTCAAAATGGAATATTTTTTACTGATAAAATTTTATCTGTGGCTGGGCAATGGTGGCACATGCCTCTAGTCCCAGCACTAGGAGGCAGAGGCAGGGAGATCTCTAAGTTCGAGGCAAGGCTGGTCTACAGAGTTCCAGGACAACCAGGACTACACAGAAAAACCCTGAAAAAACAAAACAACAAACACACACACACACTATATATATTGTATGTGTATATATATACAAGTTTATATATGAATATATACATATATACACATATGTACAAGGTCTTTTTCGTGGTACTTATTTTATTGACTGGTGACTAACGGGGGCCTTGTGGTCATTCTCTTTCGTGTACTTTATCACTTAATCACAATGTGTCCTCAGCAGATTATTGCACTTTGTATCCCCCGTTACCTGAAGCCAAGTTCCAAGGGGTAAAGGAACTGAGCAAAAACACCCAGGTAGTTGGTGGGTTTGATTCCAAGTCAGTGAAACCATCCAAGGGCTTACAAAAATCATCACAGCGGGATGTGGTGCCATTATACTGCGGACTCCAGAAAATGGCTTTCTGAAAACAAGTGGATTAAAAGGGCTTTCTATCCCGCAACCAGCCACAAGGACTGTTTCCCTGCGACGCTCGGCATGGATGCATCCTTAAGGGCACAATAAAACACTCACTGAGGCCCCTTTCTAAAGAGGAGCTCGTGCGTATCCAAGGGTGGCTTTTCTGGGGCTCCAGTGGGAATTGTTTGGAAATCTGCCTCCCCTCCGCAGGACGGGCTGAAAAAGAAAGAAAGACAGGTGGAAGCGTCTGCAGGTTGGCAGGAGGAGCGCAGGCGGAAGTCACAACTTTCTGGGGCGCCCCGGTCGGTGGGTCCACGCGCGGGGCGCGCAGGTGGCGCCGCGTCCCCGGGCCCCAGGATCAAACTGGCGGGGTGACTGGGGACCCCCGCGAGTCCCAAGGAAGGTAAAGCCTAGCTTTTCCCCTGGGCGAGAAAGGAGGGTTTACAGGAAAACACAGCCCAGAGCCGGGGAAAGAAAGACTGCCATTCCCAGCCCCCCCCCCCCGGCCCTCGGGGCGCGGGGCGCCGGCGGCGCATGCGCGAGGCCCGGCCCCCAATTCCCCGAGCGAGGGAGGGAGGCCCCCGGCGGCCCGAACTGCTAGCCGCGGCGGGACCGAGCGCACGCAGGGGCGCGCCGGTGGCCGGGCCGGACGGGCTGCGGAGGCGGTGGTCGCGAGCACGCGAGACCGGGGGCCAGACGGCCACCGGTGGGCACAACGTGCCTTGTGCGGAAAGGGACCCTCCACCCGCGACCCTCCACGCGGGGACAGCGATGCGTGAGTCTCGCCCCGGCTCGAGGGCAGGATGTGCGAGCAGGACAAAGGCTGGGAGGCGGGGGAGGAGTTGGGGACTCAGAGCCGGTGACCCAGCCAACCCTGGGCGAGCTACCGCGGTCGTCAACTTTGCAACTTTTGCAGAAGGGGACCTTGGAAATTCTGCAAGTTGTTGCACTCAGTTCCAGATTGCCCCAGGTTGGGAGGGCGGAGAGAGGGGAGGGGGACACCGCTGGCTCTTCAGGACAGCGGGCGACTGCCAGCTTCAGCGGGGCAGGAGGGGGCGCCCGTCCGGGACAGGGACAGGGACTGGCGAGGATCCGGGCCACCGAGGGCGAGGTAGGGGAAGTGTCTCCGATCGCTGAAGCTCCCGCTGTCCTCGCAGGGTGCGCCCCGAGATCTCGGTAGCCTCGGATCTGCGGCTGTGATGGATGAGCCGTGGTGGGAAGGGCGCGTCGCCTCGGACGTCCACTGCACCCTGCGCGAGAAGGTCAGTCCTTCCCCGCCCTTGTCACTCGCAAGGACTGGGTATTTAGAGTCACTGTCGCTCTCCTGTAGGTGTCTTCAGGACACCCCGCGTGGGAACTCAGAACTCTTTTTCCCTTTCTATTTGTGCTCCTGCCCTTTTACCTTCACAAGGAGTGTGGTCTTCCTCCAGGAGATTAAAAAAAAAAAAAAAAAAAAAAAAAAAAAACTTGAATTCGTTTTTTTTTCAGGAGTGCAGAGTTCCAAACAACTAATTGAAGAATAGTTCGTATCCCCTTGGGTTGCCTTCCAAGATTACTTTAAGTGATACAAGAATTGACTTTAAAAAATACTGAATATCCATTTCGGCGTGTAATTCGAAGACACACAACACAGCAGGTTCTGCATACTGTATACGATGCTGATTCCCCCCCCCCTTATTGTAATAATGATGTAGCAATTGCTTTTAAAATAAAATTATTGGGCAGTGGTAGAGCAGATGTCTAAATAAATTTATGTAAACGTAGTAAAGTTACAGTTCGGTGTAAAGAAATATTAGGTAGATGGTGGGATTACATCGTTCAGGCAGGACCTGGACCATTGAAATGTAAAAACCAGGCCTGAAGGTAATCCCAGCGCTGTGGAGACAGTAGGAGGATTTCCACAAGTTCAAGGCCAGCTGAATCATTATGGTGCATTCCAGGAAGGATAGGGCTACATAGTGACACCTTGTCTCAAAACAAAAGAAAGAAAGGAAACACTAATCTAACTGAAAGAGGTTGCAAACTAGAAAGCTAAGGGAGAAAACACAAATTCCCCAGACAGTTGGCCTCCTGTGGTAGAAGGTAGGGATGGCTGAAACCTGATCCCCTCTCAACTTCACCTCCCCAGGCTTCTGGTGGCCACTGGGAAACTGGGAACACCCAGGGATTGGAGGATCCTCTGTTTCTTCTTTCCTGTCCCAGGGCTGAGAAAGGTTGTTGGAGAGTTGACGTCAAGCCTGGAAGTGGAGCTACAGTAACAAAGTACTGGGAGCTGGAGGGCATCCTCCAGAAAAAAAAAAAAAAAAAAAAAAATGTATTCTCTGATTCAGAAGGGTCCAGAAGATGATCTTCCCGTTTGTTCTTGAGCCTATTTCTTATGGAGCCCAGGCTAGCTGTATACTCACTGTATAGTCCAAACAGTCCTCGAATTCATGGCCCAGTTGCCTCAGCTTTCTGAGGCACTCTTAGCTTCCTAACTATCTGCCTCTGTGTCACCTCATATGGTCTGTCTGAGGATCTGTGTCCGTTTTCCCATAGGAGTCCACCATAAGTCAATAGGACACAACTGAACTTTAACTGGGACATCTGAAAGGATGTGACTTTCAAGTAAGATCACATTCTCAGATTCCAGGTGGATGTAAACTTAAGTTTTCAACTGGTTTGTCAGGCCAACGTAGGATAGAAGTTGACTTACTGGGGTATGTGGGTCCCTGCAGAATGGAGCCCCCACCACCACCATCAACACATATGTAATCAGACACTGTGGCAGTCCTATTTAAAGAGCCCCCAGATTCTCAGGGAAAGAGGGTTGCCTCATTGGGGAGTGACTGTTCTCCAGTCACACTAATGCTTTATTCTTATTTTTTTCTCTTTTCCTTTATGTGCTGACCTGTCTCTCCCTGGCATAGCTTTCCAATGTTACTTTGCTCTTTCCAGAACAGAATGTTCCAGTCTGGGGATCTGGAGACAAAATCGGGTTCTAGTGGCTCTTTTCAAGAGCAGGACATAGTACTTAGCACCTTTAACTAAGCACTCAGAGACTGGAGAGTCAGAAGTTCAAGGCCAGAAATCAGGGCCAGAGGAGGTAGGGTTGTTCATGGAACAGTAGTTCTTAGTCCTTTTCTAGAAGTACTGGCTGAATGAAGGCAGTGAGGGCCACTGGGGAGCTTGCCTTCCTGATTTAAGGGAACTCAAGCAGTTGCTGTTTCTGCACCCCGGGCATGATGGGAAGAGAAAGCTCTGTGGAAACAATGTAACTTGCCTAAGACACTCCAGGTTGGAAGCTGCCCTTAGGGTCAAAACTCATGTCTTTTTAGTTACAATGTACCACATCCTCCAAATACTGCTGACTGTATTCTTATTGTGTATCTTCTTCCTCGTCAAAGTTGTTTAAGATTGTTTGGCTTGATGGAGTTTTGAGTGAAAATTGCCTGATTAAGGGACTGGTACCCTTGGTGATCTGTCTTTGAGGAACAAGGTCTGGTCTTTTGCCTTTCCAAGGCAGGATGTATTTTTTTTTTTTAAATTAACATCAACTCTAATAATATGTTCCTAATACTGTAGAGCAACTTTACAAGTGCCTGGCACATGCTAGATGCCCACCCTTTGTTGAATGTTGCCAGCTGGGCACAAAGCATGTTTGCATACAGGCTGTACCATTGTTTTTGCGTAATCACTAGCACCCATCCTTTCCTGGTGGGCATAGCTGTCATCTCGGGGACAGTGGGAGCCCCACTTTGTCGGATGGGAGAGTCTGGTGTAGCACCATACAGCAATTAGAAAAATGTAACACCATATAAACAAGTCTAAGTTATGTATGCAAATCAGTAATGGCGCATCTCCTGAGCTGACTAATTTACCTCCTCTCAGCCTGTGGTTCATCCTTCCCCTATAACCAGAATTCCACTGTGTCACTTTCTTGCTTCAAGACCTATTGCACTTCACATAAAATTCCCAGGGAACTGGAGAGATGGTTCCATGATTAAGAGCACTGGCGCCTCTTGCAGGAGACTCAGGTTCAATTCCCAGCACCCACTGCTGCTCACAGCAATCTGTAACTCCAGTCCGAGGGTATCCGATTCCCTGTCTTCTGGTTTTGTGGGCACTGTGTGCACACGGTGCACAGACACAGATGTAGCTAGAACACCCATATGCATGTTCAAATAAAACTCCCAGTCCCCACTATTACCTGGAATTCTTGACATAGCTTCCCTGGCCCTACTCCCTTATCTTGTGGCTCCCTGGGAGCCACACAGACTTCCTTTCTGTCCCTTGAGCATGTCAAGCTTCTGCATGCCCCAGGGCCTTTGTACTGGCTGTTTCTTTGCAGTCTGTGTTTCTCAGTCTGTGTCCTAGTAGACTCCTACTGATTTAGTATTCACCCCCGACCCTGTCCCTGTTAGATCACCCGGTTTTATTCTCTTTATAGCATTTCCTACCATCCGAAATCATCTACCGTTAGTGTGCTATCTCTCTCCTGATTCTAAAAAGATGTGTTTCACAAGAGTCTGCCTAAGTCTGTCTCAGGCAGTTCTGGGGCCTCCATGTCTAGAATGGAGCCTTCCTTGTATGCTCAAATGATGAAAAGGAATCAATCAATATTATCTCCTATGAAATGGGGAGAAATATTTTATAGGACTGTAAGGATCAAGGGAGGCAATCTAAGAATATGAGCTATGCGGAAGGTATGTGGCTGGGGTCCTGCCTTAGGATTGTGGGATAGCAGTGGACCCTTTCATGTAATGTGTGCTCAGCTAAGGCTTGGGTTTGCTCCTCACCTGTGCACTGAACATGGCAAAGGAGTGTATCTTGACCACCTGGGAGGCATGGAGGAGAGTGGTACTGATATTTTTTTATGATCCACACCCTCTTGAGCACGAGAATTAATCCCAGAGCTGTTTTTTTTTTTTTTGTGCCCCTCAGAAAATGCATCCTCCTAAGCGTAAAGTTAATACAGTCCTCAATCTTCTACCTAATTGGTTTCCACATGTTTGGGATGCGCGTAGAAGCAGGGCACAGACAGCATTTACCTTGAGGCTCACCTTTCTCATCCTGCAAGCTTTTGTCCGTCCTCCCCACTGTGTGTCTCAGCCCCACTAATCTTGCACTTACTTCTTCTGTGATCTTTTTCACCCACGCAGTAACTACTCCCTCAAAGGAGGCTGTGAGCAGCTTGTGGGCATGAGGTTTGCACTATGCCTCCACATTCCCTGTGCAGCGTCTGGTGTAGAGAGAACTCAGGGACTGCTTCCTTACCTGATACAAGCACATCAAGCTGAGGAGCTAGAGAAAGGAGTCCGGGGACTTCACCCAGATGTGTTGAATAGCTGTAGAGAAGCGCTTTTCTGGAACCCTATACCTGGTCTTTGGCATTAGACTGAGGAGTGGTGCTCCTGCTTAGGCTGGAGCAGGCCATAGTGCTGGCTGCATGGTCAGACACAGGACCAAGGAGAAATACCTCCTTAGTTCCCTAAATATCTGGATACTGTCCTCTCAGATAATGCTGGGTGGCATCATAAGAAAATAATTAGCCACAGAAGCAGATGTCCTGGCCTGGGCCAAGGTATACTATAAGTAGCGTGGAGAAACGACTACCTATTGAGAAATAGGAATAATATTTCCCAAACAGCCAGGGGGAATCCATTTTCCTTCCTGAATTTTACCTCCAACTGAACAATCAGCAAATACAGACAAATCTTGCTCTCATCTCCTGCGGATTTATGGTCAGTTTCTAGCCCTTAGTCTCTAACTAGAAGAAGGGGGTGAATGCAAGCAAGGAAGATGTTAGAGGATCCTTCCTCATGCCTGTGAGTTAATGCTGGGTTGCATGAAGACCTGTTTCAGGGTAGATTCATCCCTCCCAATGCCACAAGGCGATCCCCTACACTGACATGACACAGTAAATCTAGCTTTCTGGGCTCATAAGACCCTAAAGCCTAAAAGCTTTTCCACCAGCTCCTCCCTGTCTCCTGGGATGGAAGTCATGGGGTGCCTTAGGATCTGCTCATCCTGCCCTAGATTGAGATCTTGCTCAGCAGACACGTTTCTCCTACTTCCTGAAACTACTTCATTGCACTCTGAGAAGACCTTGCCTTTGTGAAACTATGCTTTCATTTTTCTTTGCATTGCCAGGGATCAGACCCAGGGCCAGTGATTGCTAGGTAAATACTCTCCCACCAAGCTATATCCCCATGTTGTTTTAACTAGTGGATCAGTAAAGGACACAGACATATTTAGTAGTTTGCGATTGCATTTAATACTG